GAAAAGAGAAAATATATATATATATATATATATATATATATATATATATATATATATATATATATATATATATATATAGTAGTTTATACATTAATAAAACGTTTTCTAACATTTAAACTCAAACGAAACAGAATTTAAATTAAAAATTATCGTTTTAGACAGGGGGGCGTGTGAACATTTCTTGAAAAATTGGCGAATATCGAACTTAAGCACAAAAGTTAAGAAAACTATCGAATAGTTAAGCATTTGCACACGATTTAGTTGTGGAGTAAATCATTATACCATTAAATATAGTCAACGCAAAAATTATACATGCTATAGGCAAAAAAAGTTATTGACAAAAATGTGGATCATATAAACCTACGAAAAATATCCTTGTATGCGGTTCAGTTAAAGAACGTTTTATACAATAAATTTATCAACAGTAACCTTAATTTGGTTTATTTTCTTGCACAATACTACTTCTTGCACATGTAGACTATAATTATTTCTAGTTTTTAGGTTGTCACGTTCAGGGCCGTAGCTAGACACAATAATTGGAGGGGGCGTATATTCATATATTCATGTTTACAAATCCGTCGGGCAGAACAGGAATATATGAACATACAACCCCCTCCCAATTATCGTTCTAGCTACGGTCCTGGTCACGTTCACTATTCCGCTTGCATTTTCATAGAAAAGGCAAAACATCGAAGTCGCTCCTTGTCGCTTCCATTTTGAGTTTTTGACAACCTTCAGAACACTTGACATCACGTTCGCAATACAGATTTCAGTGATGTTGACGCATACGCAGACGTTTTCCCGCGGTGTTGCCAAAAACAGCAGTTATTTCTGAATTTTAATTAATAAATATATATATGTTATTTACCGGATTGGAGGTCCGTATAGAGAAATATTTCTCGAGGTCTTAAAAACGGCCCGAGGCCAAAGGCCGAGGGACGTTTTTAAGACCGAGAGAAATATTTCTCTATACGGACCGACCATACCGGTAAATAATATTTTTATTTTTTTTTAATTCGTCCTCTGGATTTCCCCAATCACTCCTCCCGCACGCGAATGAAGCTGCCAAATAAAACGTCGTTTCTATCAATGCTATCGGGAAGAGAAATATCTTTTGTGAGATAGTAAAATTCGTTTTCACTGTGTTTTTCATCGTCTGCAGACATTTTAATGTTTTAAAAAGTAGCCTTTAAACTCATCTTTAAATTTTGAAAAATAAAAACATTGGCTCTACGGCTTTAAATCTCGCGCGGTCCGTACGGGCTCATACGGACCGCTCACGTAGCCAATTAGATTGCAGAAAAGCGTAAAATATGACTTCGGACCGCAATGATATTTTGATATTTTGTTTTATTCTTTAAAATTTCATACTAAAACAATTATTCGCATCAGTCAGGCTCAGTGATTACGGTGAATATTCACTTCGACTTCGCGGTCGCTGTGAAATCGTTTTGTTTCAATCCGGTGCAGCGAGATTGGAAATCTCAAATCAAAAATCAAATCGAAAATCAAATCGAAAATCAATGCAGCGAGATTGGAAATTTCCCGTGGTTCCATACTGTGTTATAGAAACATGCTTCTTGACCAATCAACACTTCCGTATTAAAATGTTATATCATAGCCCTTAAAATTAAGATCTAGGACGGCAACGTGACGACGACGGCTAGTATTAGGGATCTTAAGCAAGTACGACGGCAACGCGACTACGACAGCCAAAACAAACTTCTTCAAATAAATTATTGTGAAGAAGAGTTGTTGTGTATTATCCACTGCATGTATATATGAATTGAGTAGTTGAAGAAATTGATAACACAAATCATTGATTGAAAATATTCAGCGGCGAGCGACGAAGTTTATACTAAAATACCCGAACGAAATGTCCTATACAGAGAGGCTAATTAAAACAAACCTCCTGCCATTAGAATTCCGCCTAGAGATCTCCGACCTGTTGCTAGTTTTCAAATCAAAAACCGGACTAATATCTATGGATGTCAATAACTATTTATGCACCTTCGAACCAGGCTATAAATCACGACGCAATTACGACGAAAACAATTTCAACTTCCTGATTAATCACAAACAGACTACTTTAGGAACTCTTTTTTTATAAGATCAGCCAACCTGTGGAACAGTCTTTCATCAGAACTGAAATCTCTAGTAATTAACTCTGGTATATCCATATTTAGAACCAGGCTACGCGACTTCTATAATGCTAAATTACCATCATATAGTCCTCCTGGCTGCATCTAAGTAAATTTAATGTTATATAATATAGTTGTTTGTTTAATCATATATTAGTATTGATAGGGGTAAAGTGTCAATTGGGACGCAAGTCCTGTTCTTTTCTCCAGTCACGTCTATGTTTAGTGTGTTAAAATAAAATTTAAAAAAAAAGGCTTTATGGTTAAAAACGCTTCTGCTGAGCAAATTTGTATAGTTTCACCTGTCGCGTCTTGACATGTTTGCGTTGTACACGGGACGTGAAAATCTCTGTTTTGCGGTTGTAAAAAGCACTAACACAACGTTTCTAACTCCCGTGGGCCTTCGACCTTCATTTCTTTTGCACGAGATCAGGAATATCATTGTCAACACCTTCAACAACACCATGCAGTGAACCGTTTTAATAGCAATATAGCACAACGCTTGTTGCTGAAAACATGTACGAATTCTTTCAAATAATTAAATACTATATCAATTGAAGTGATTTTAGCAACTTGAAACTTTTCACCAGCTAAATTTTTGCTCGTCTACGAACAATTCGCATGTACTTACTTTCCTTGCATTACCTTCCCAGCAATATCAAATGATCAAAAACTAAAAGATCTATTTATTGTGTTAGATTACTGATTGTTTGCTTAATGTCATTTCTAGCAACAACAACAGTTACAACACTTCCCACAACCACGACAACACCACCTACAACAACAGGTAAGTTCTTGAAGATTGAAAGCTTATAAAATCAATTAATTTTTCAGTAAATTTTCCTGATCACGTATACCCAAGTGACCCGTCATGAACGGCTGTTACGATTGAGAGGGTCCAGATCTGGATCCTATTTCCCAGCGCACCTTTTTTTAAACACCATTTCCCAACCACTTTTTGACCAAATCCTAGTTTTAACTGAAAACTTTATATCAAATATTTTATTGTGCGGGTTAAAAACTTTCAGACACCCACTTTAAGTGATTTGGTAACTTTTCACCGACTACATTCCTGCTCGACACATTCTCATATACTTATTTTCCTTCCAAGCGGCGAGAATGGTCATTATATCCTCTTGACCAACACCGCATGATTTACGGTGTTACTAATGTTGTCAACAGTGTAATTGCAGTAGTATGGAATGATGGAAGGTGAAAACAACAGCATACTAAAACTCCATATTTCCTCAGCTGTTGAGTTGATAAGACGAAATGAATGAATGAATGATTTATTTGCCACACACATCGTATTATTAAAATTTACATAAATTTCACGATTGATTGTTATAGCCAATCAGAAATCATGGATTCTTTCAAATAAATTATATTCAGTTTAAGTGATCCTAATATTTTGTATAACTTTTCACTGGCTAAATTTTTGCTCGTCTCTGGACAATTCGTAAATAGACCACCTTCACATGACTTATCAGTTCTCATGTTTTACGGTGTTACTAATATTGTCAATAGTATAGCGAGCTATTTTTTGTCGTGAAGGACTGCTATAATTAAGAGGATCCAGACTGTGAGTCTGGATCCCAGTTCCCAGCGTACCATATAATACTCGTATGACTAATGCGTTGCATGATGTACTAATTATAAATGCAACAGTATCACTGAATGATAGAAGGTGTAAAGTTAGCGAGAAATTTTATTCTGGTCATTTACTGACAGTTTAATTAATATTATTTCCAGCAACGGCAACACCAGCAGGAAATATGACAACAGGTATTAGTACTTTAAAATTGAAAGCTTTTATAAAATAAATTAACTCTTCAGAATATCTTCCTGATCACTCCGCGTATATCCCGATGAAAAGTATTGTTCTCGTAGCTGGTCCTGAAGAGTGGTCTACATCCCCATTCCTAGCCCCCGTGTTTCTAAACCCAATTTCCCAGCGCTTTTGACCAAATCTCAACTTGAGCAGGTGTTTCACCAATTTGTTGAGTTTTAAAACACAATAGTCTGCATTCAATATCTATCTGTAGTCTTTCTGTAACATACCAAGGAAATCACTGATTCGCAGTAGCATAAAGTTATATGACTTCGGACCGGAAAAGGGAAGAATACAGTCTTACAAGAAACTTTAATTTGGACAAACTTTCAATTAAACCCTAAAGTTATTTAATCTTTGAAAAGTTGAATTATAGAATAATATTTATTGTTATATATCAATAGTCAAAGTCGCATTTTTCTAGTGTTTTATTGGTTGAGAGTATATCACGTGAGAGTGACGAAATTAGGCTGTCTCTCTCGCAACAGCGCGAGAGGGAGATAATACGTTATCGACCGGCGAATAACAAAAAAAATCACGTGCGCCATCACGTGAAGGTGCGACTTTTGGACATGCTTAGCACGTGATTAAGAGGGCGTTTCTGTAAGAGCAGACCACTGGATCTGACCTTCAAAAATAGATTTCTCTTATATTTCTACCGTCGATACTCTCATCTATCCTAACTACGAAACTGGAGTTAAGATCGTTCTAACGTGGTTTTTACAACCGCTATGCGAGTTTTTGTCCCAGGACCCAAGTTAATTAAAATATGGCGGTTTCTGAATTTGCCGAAGCCTACAATCACAGTCCGCTTTCTCTATTTTCTCTGCGAATCAGAGCTTCGTTTTCAGCTCTGAGCTGCACTAGAGTGGTCTTTCTACAAAGAAACAGTGACATATAGCTGTTTAGTTGCACCCTTCAACGCATGATATCAAATTCGAGAATTATAGGTCCTAAAACATTGCATAATTCTCATTTGTGGCACCTGCCCAGGTTCTAAATCGCTTTTTAACTTTGAAATAGGATGCTATTCCATACATCTACACAATAAAATTTGCGGCACATTGTATTTCTAAGAAATCAGGAAGTTGACAATTTTTGCATTTTTTAGCTATATTTCTGCGTGTGACACAAGAATCGGATCAAAATACTATCAAAATTAAGAGAAAAGTGAGACGAATCCATTCGTATACGGCCGAAAAAGAGAAAACTAACAGCACGAAAGTTATCAAGGATCAAACCTACTGCATTTTTAATTAGTTCTAATAATTTTGAGCGATTTGTCAATTGTCAACAATACAGTTTCGCTTGACTTTCAAAGGCCATAAATCGCTAGAATACTGCTATTTTGTAATGAATTTGGCTTTCGTAAGTACAATTTCGTACGCTGATTCGAACGACGGTATTTTTGTCCTCGTTGAGTCACTTGGGTGCATAAAACCAGACCGTCTGCCGTGGTAGCTGTGATAAACTTAGCACGGAGCGACGGACAACGCAATTTTGCAAAAGGGTTGTGCTCTCATCGCATGAATGTGCTTTCAATTTCACATATTGGGGTACTTATAATATAGAATAATGAAAAAAAATTCCTGAACTCAAATTTTGTGAACCAGGGGAGGGGGGTGTCTTTTCAAACAAACAAACTGGCTTGCGCACAAAATTTAAATGTTGTAATCATATTTTGAGTTTATAGATGGAACATTTGTTGGGTTTTTAATTACTGTACAAAATTTCAGACAATTTGCATTAGTGTAAGCCCTTTAACTATTAGCGCAAACTTACATTTTTTCCTAAAAAATCAGCTATTTGCATGCTTAATTTAATTAATGCCTTTGCCTAATTTGCATATGTCAGCAATATGCAAATTAGGCAAAGGCATTAAGTAAGCATGCGAAAGGCTGATTTTTTAGGAAAAAATGAATAGTTAAAGTCTTAAACTAAAGCAAATTGTCTGAAATTTTGTACATTAATTAAAAACCTAACACATTTTCCATCTATCAACTCAAAATATGATTAAAGCTTTTAAATTTCGTGCGCAAGCCATTTTTATTTTGTTTTCATTATTCTACATTATAAGTACCCAAGGAAGCTATATACATAAAAAACTCGATACTAATAGCTGTTTTGCGAAATTGAGAGCAATTTCAAATCTGCGCAGTTTTTTTATACACCCTAGCCCCCGCGAGTTACTAACGCTCTTTCGAGCGCCTTGTTATTAATTAATTTCTAAAATCATACGAGTCATTTTATTTCTGATATTCTAAGCTAGTATTTGTGCCTATTCTGATTCATTGCAATTGCTATTATATTATAAAATGATTTTTGAATATAATTTCATACAAAATTTGGGACGAATGCATATTATTAATTAAGCGAGCTATATTAAATGTTATGTCCATGTTGTGTTAGCAAATTCCAAAATCTCTTAAAAAAGGGTTGAAATTACTTAAATAAATCTTTAATCAAGTCTAGGAACAAGTTTTTAATGTATTCTTGATTTTTGGACAGTAACAGTGCGGCTAATAACAGCACAGGGACGTATTCACCAGTTTCGTAGTTAGGATAGATGAGAGTATCGATGGTAGAAATATAAGAGAAATCTAGTTTTGAAGCCCAGATCCAGTGGTCCGCTCTTACAGAAACGCTCTCTTAAAACTCTATTTAAAGTAACTGCAGTGTGGCCAGTGTTTAATATAACGTTTTAACAATGAAATGTTTCATGTATTTGCTTTCATTTGTTCTTTGATTTGTTGTTTCTTTGACTATTGATATATAATAAAACGCTTATTTACTGAGACCTCGGGAAAGCAGTGTGTTTTGTGGACCCTCGACCATCGACGGTCTCGGATCCACAAAACACACTGTTTCCCTCGGTCTCAGTAAATAAGTGATAAATATCCAAACAATACTTGGATATATCAAATAAAGTGTCAATCAAATGGTTGTTATCATAAACGAAACAACTATTAAAACTGTAGAGTAACTTAATAGGATATATATATATATATATATATATATATATATATATATATATATATATATATATATATATATATATATATATATATATATATATATATATATATATATATAAAAAAAAAATAACTATGAATTGCATCATATCATCATTGCATCGCTTCATTAAATTAAACCAAAAGAAAACCACAATCCCTAAAACATAAAATGGAAATAAAAGTTTAAAAAAGGTATTAAGCTAAGAAATCAAGGTTGCATGGCCTTACGACACCGCATGACAATTTTTGCTTTATTGTTCGCATCATCAGTATTACAGTTTTCTTTGTTATTCAGATTAGATCCCAGACTACTAATTTCTGTCAGTTTTTTTTGTAATTTCTACACATTCTATCTGTAATGTTTAAACATTTCCTTCCGCAAACAAGATCCTATGAAGGAAATATCATGTTCTCAACCATCTCCACAACATGTCATTGTAGCAATGTTGTTGGCTTTGTCGGTTATTTTGGGTAACGTTGACTGATGTTGGAAGCTTCATGTTGGGTCATATTTGACTTTCTTTATTTCAAATTTTCATCCAACACGGTGTAACATCGTCCAACATAGTTTTACCAACAACATTGAACGGTGAACGGATCTTACCTCTCCCAAACAAAATGAGCATATCTCAGTGCCGTAGCCAGCTCGATAATTGGGGGGTGGGGCAAATATTCATATATTCGTGTTCACAGACCATAAAAACAATCGATTTCAAAAGAAATTAATAACGCAGAGCACGAATATATGAATATTTCCCCCCCCCCCCCCCCAATTATCGAGCTGGCTACGGCACTGGCATATATCTTTGAGCTCTGAATATTATCATTTTCATTTCAGACAAACCGACAACCAATGGTCAAGCAAGTTTCTCAACATCGCAGTCATTGAAACTTGTTACATTGGTACTCTTGACTGCAGTTGCAAGTTTTTGATTCACAACTGGCACAAGGCTTCAACGTTTCACGACGCGTGACTTTCTCAAAGACGTCCAATGGATTTGTATATATAGACACAATAATATTCAAGACTCAACTCGTCACATCGATAAGTGAGTTGTGAAGTACATTAAAATAAGAAAGTGCTGTACTATCTCAGGATCCTGTGTTTGAATAATTAGACCATAGGCTTAGTAAAATAAAATCAAAGATATATAGTTTTTTGTTATTCTGACATTGCAGATTAATAAAACGCAAATCCGTTGTCTCGAGCGGGATTCGAACTCACATTTTCAACGGGGATTAGTATCGAGTCTTATCCAATTTGAGCACACGAAATATTTTCGCGTCGACATCACGTTTGTTACAAATCCCTGTTGATTCCTGATTGACTGATTTGTGGCCACATGCATAGCTTCAGATAAATGCAATGTTTCGAGCCGGGCAACAAGTGAAAAATTGTTGCCCGTGACCGGCTACGTACATAAGTAAACAAAATGGCGGCACAGGCCAGCATAATCAGAAAATACGATTTTCCAAGTTTGTGTTCAAATAAAGAATGTAAAAGAGAAGCAAAATACATAACAGGCGACAGGAAATGCTGCTGAAACCGTTTAAGTAGGTTCTTTTAATTTTAAACTCGTTTACCCAATAGAGTTTTTGTCACGAAATACAATTGTTGTATGAATATGTTAATTGTTGAATGTTGATTTATGTTCATCGCTATATAACAAAACGCTTAATATCTGTTTCCTCGGGAAATAGTTAGTTTTGTTTTCCCTCAAATCTCAATGTTTCCCTCGACTTTGTCTCTGGAAACATTGAGACTCTCTTGAAAATAAAACAAAACAAACCATTTCCCTCGGGAGCAGACATAAAGTGTATAATATTCACGCACGAGTGAATATAACAAAACCGAAGTAATTTAATTTGCAAAATTTTATGGCGGCAAGCCGTTTTGTGGAAGTTACTGATAAACAAATTAAAAATAAAACAATACGAAATTAAAATAAATTCTGTCCCCCAAAACAAAAAAGACTTATGTAAAAATACTAAAACAATTATTCGCCTAACTAAAAAACGTTGTTTGGTATTTCTAAATTTAAGGCCTTTAATATAAGCGTTTTTAAATTAACTGATCAATCCTAAGTTCATAACTGAACTTTTTAAATCGACTTGAATACAATCTTTAACAACAATTGTATTATTTTTCAACAATTGTATTATTTTTCTCTATTTGTTTCGTGAGCATTCAGATAGAATTTGATGCCCTTGAAACAAAGAAGTGCGTTGTGTTTTGTTTCCATTGGAGTGGAAATCAGACTTTATTAATACTCTTAAATAGCCTAATTATATTGTATATATGTGTTGCTGTAAATTAATAGTGCATGACTAAATATTGAATTAATATACTGTAATTTAAAGTTGCAGGACCTCACTGAAAAACACTTCGGTGATGTGGGTATCCTGGATAAATATGAAGATAATAATAATAATAATAATGGAAATTTTATTGAAATTATATACGTATATATACAATTATAAATCTCACTAATTTAGGTAATTTATAATTGACTACTTGAACCTACTTAATATTTATATACTAATAATGAGTATCCTTAAATGTTCAGTAATTCCGGATTTAACCAGTCCTTATCTCTGCAACAAAATATATAATATGTTGTCCTAATCGCGATAGACATAATTTTCCTGATAGCGAAATATTGGTGTCTTTTATCAAGACCTAGATCAGTTAACATATCTAAAAAGGAATGACATTCTTTTGAGAAAACGCCTAAAGAACTAATTGACAAATTTACAAATTTTACGGACTTAAATTGTTTCTTTTGCTGTGTAATGAGATCTTCGTATCTTCTTCTTTTCCGATCATAATAATAATAATAATAATAATAATAATAATAATAATAATGATAATAATAATAATAATAATAACAAATTATCCTTGACTTTAAAGTTCAGTTATCTTTGATAAAGCACATATCCCAATATATAAATCGAAAATTGAAAATCGACTGAAAGTATAGCGGGCGCACGCCCGTTCGCAGGTTAAGGCCGGGAATATTATCGCAAACTTTGCAAATAATAGACAGGTTAAGATACCCCGGTTTCGGTGTACGGGTACGGGTAGCATGATTTTGGTTAGCAATATTTTCGTCGATCTCTGTACCTTTACTCGTAATTAAGGTGCACATTTTTCCCATTATATCATTGTCTTATTGCAAGAAAACAGAAAAAGTATGATTGAATTACAGGCATCAGTAAAAACTAGTAAACAAGATGACACTATTCGTACCCGTACACCGAAACCGGGGTATCTTAAACTCACTAATACTGTATCTCCACCCGGTTAGCGCGTTTGACGCCGACTGACAGCCGAAAATTTTGTCTCCGATTGCTCGGCTGCCAGCGGGGCTGTACTATAGCTGTACACTATTCGTTCAAAAAATGCGCGCATTTCGGAGACTGGTTCTATTATTATTGTTATTGTTATTATTATTATTCACGTTGATTGTCCAACCGAAGCAAATGCGAAAAAGTTTGCGGACTTAATGAATACTTTTGGACTTATCCAACATGTTCATGTCCTAACTCATTCATCAGGTCATACCCTTGATTTGATTATCACTAGATCAATCAATGATGTCACAATCACCTCTCCTTTGGCGACGTTTGCTTTGTCTGATCATTTTTTTGTTGAATGTTTGTTGGATATTCCTCGCCCAAACATCCTAGTTAAAGAAGTTTGCTATCGCAAAGTTAAATATATTAACCTCAATGCCTTTAAAGCTGATATATGCGCCTCAGATCTATTTCAGAAAACTTGGTCAAGTATTAATGATATGTCAAATTGCTATCATATTACCCTACGTTCTATTCTCGATAAGCATGCTCCTTTGAAATCGAAAGTTATGACTGTTCGACCAATGGTTCCTTGGTTTAATGATAGTTTAAAGAAGCTGAAAGCCAAACGTAGGAAACTGGAAAGAATCATGCTTAAATCGAAGCTTGAATATGATAAGAATGCTTATCGTAAGGTACGCGATGACTACAGTGCTATATTGAATGACACCAGAAAAATGTTTTATTCCAACCTTATTGACAAAATTATTCCAAATTGTGAACTCTTTGAGCAAAGAACGTCTAGTTGAGGAGTTTCCTGAAAATCGCGATCCTTCCATCCTTGCTAACGAGTTTGGTGAGTTCTTTTGTAAGAAAATTGAACTCGTGAAATCAAAGATTGACGAGATTTTCATTAACCCACCTAATGTTCCATTTCATCTGCCTGAAGTGAAATTGGATGAATTTTCTTCGGTTTCTGAGGATGAAGTTCGGAGGATTATCCTTGAATCTTCGAATGCTTCCAGTAAGTTGGACCCTATTCCTACATCATTGGTTAAACTCTGTTGTCATGAATTGGCCCCAATCATCGCTGAAATCATTAATCTCTCTTTCTCTGAAGGAATTGTACCCGATCATTGGAAAATAGCGCTAGTTCTACCTCTTTTGAAGAAATTTGGGCTTGATTTTATGTTTGAAAACTTCAGACCTATAAGCAACCTGCCATTTGTTGCCAAGTCTGCTGAGAAGGCAACGATCTCTCAGTTATCTATACAGTGTGCTGAAAATGCCCCTTTTCCCGAGTATCAATCAGCGTATCGGAAAAATCACTCAACAGAAACATACATACATACATACATACTTTATTGTGTTCCCTAAATAGGGATTTTCAACACTGATTTACAAAAAATAAATGTTGTTCTATTTACAAGTTT